GCCCAGAACGCCTTGCCTTAAGCACTCTTCCCACGCCGGCTTCCCAAGTAGCTGAGACTGCAGGCGCATGCCCTGCACTCAGCCGGATCTCTTTTTAACGTTCCCATTTATGAACCGCCACATGCCAGGCTCCGGGCTAAGTGCTTTCTGTGCATTATCTTATTTCAACCTCACAATCAACCTTTGAAATATGTCATGAGGCAGACCTCGGCCTTTTTCACTCTCAAGGAATGGATGGATACGGAGGTAAAAGTTAAAACAGTCTAAAGCAAGGTTTTAAAAACTCCCATTAGTATATAACTCATCTCTAACTTCCACTGACCTCAAAGTTCAGCTACCAAAGGATTAAGAAAACAGAAATCTGGAAATAAGCCCACAAACATGTGGAAAATTGACCCGTTTTAATTATTTAAAAACAAAAAACACAACACAACATCAAATTTCCTCTGCCATCTACAATGCAGTTACACCCAAACATTCTACGACATTCCGAACAGAAGCAGGGAATTACAACGAGACGCTGAAGACACATGAAGGTGAATGCTGAAGATCAGAGTTGCAGCCGTAGGTCACAAGTCTTCCATTCAAACACGCTCCAATACTTTTCATCTCAGTTTGTTAAAGAAAGTGTTTTACAGGAAGTTCTTTAAAATAATTTCATCCCAGACACCAGGTTTCTTCAATGATACACAGCTTCATGAAATTTGTGTTTCCAGCTGATTGACAGGAATAAAAAGTAGTATTTATTTTTGTCTTTTGTTTTGCTGGCGTGCAGAAGTAAACCCATCAGTCAGATTCCTTCTAATAAATGAGGAAAAGGAGAGGAAAGAAAAGAGCTGTGCTGTGCTGGTGCTGGTTTCTACTTGTCTTTCTGAGGGTGTGACTTCAAGAGTTAAATCACACTTAGGTCACTACAATGATTAGTACTAGTAATCTTTTTTTTTTAAATGATAAAACGAAAATACCCGATGGACATAAAAATGGTCGAAATGTTTTTTACTGCAGGTCAATTTTTCCCCCCCAAAAAAGGTACAAAATGAACATATAATTGGGATGGCAACTCCATTGGACATTCCAACTCACTCATCCGCTCGTCCCCCATACAGGTAAGGGGAACAGGCATCGGGTTTTATTAGTCATGTTTTAGTAGTAATCAGATGTGTTAATGGCAGCTTATTTGAGGTCCGTCGATCCTTTGAATATGTGTAGGAAAGCATGGCTGTCGGTCTCTGCTCACATCTGAACACATTCAGCTACCACGGAAACTACAGGGGAGGAAAACTATACTTATTCCAAGATGCACTGGGATTTCTGAGTGCCCTTTCTTCCATAGAGCCCCAGGGTGGTGACGATGTGCTAGGGGCTGCTGTGTTTTCCGGCGTGAGCCCCCATCCTCTGAGGGTCCTGAGAAGGGTAGTGGATTGGTCCTGGAGCCCTCATGAAAGGAGGGGGCGGTCCCATTGGGTGGAACATGTGTGGTCCAAAACCTGCAGAAGGGAGAGAACAAATTTGCTAAGCCTGTAGTTCCCTTGACAACCTTTCAAACCTCTGAACCTCTAAGGCCAAAACCACCTACATGTAAATCAAGGTTGACATGGGGCTTAAGCAAATGTCAGTTCACAAGACTTGTTCAGGAGTATCGACCTGTGTTATTTCCTTGGTTTTGGAGACCTTTCTCCTAAGTCCAAAATACTCTGTGGGACTTAAGGTATCTGCTAGGATGTCATCGGAGCCTCTGCTATGTATTAAACATGCCAAACCATACCACACAGGATTCAGTCAGGATTTGGGAGGTGAAGAAGGAATCAGGCTGATGGCAAGACTGTCATCATTAACCTGGATGCTTGACTGATTATCAGAATGGAGGGTGTTCAGAAGCCAGACTCTTCAGAAACCAGTATGGGCTCTCTGCCTCAGAACTGGCTACCTGTGATTTCCTTGCTGTTCACACTGTCCCTGATACTCTCCAGAGCAGAGGTATACAAAGTGCCAGTCTGCAACGTGTTTATTACTGGCCACTGACAAGATAAAGAGCTTGAGCCAAAAGGTAACTCAATTACATGACCAAGCACACTGCTTAGTTTGTCTGACAGTTTTTTTGTAACAAGCCTTTCTTAATGAAGGAAGTAATTCATTGCTTTACGTTCAGACACAAGCTTCGTATCTTGTGGCAGACAGGTGATAAATACTTTGTGAAATGACACCTGCTCACAGCCCACACTCTGAGCAACAGTGCTCTAGGGCTGCAGTCCCCAACTCCTGAGCCACCGACCAGTAGAGTGGCTGCAAATACAGATTATCATCAGCAGAGAGGTTTGACTGCAAAATAAATGTAATGTGCTCGAATCATCCCAAAACCCCCTCCCACTCCCGGTCTGTGGAAAAACTGCCTTCCATGAAACCAATGCCTGGTGCCAAAAGGCTGGGGACCGCTGCTCTAGAGCTCTGGTAAGGATTTAGTTTAGAATAGGGAGCGAATTGGTGACAGACCACTGTAATCCACTAACTCCCACTCTGATTACACATCATACTCAGATCTCTAGAAAACTGGCACTTTCCTCTCCTTGGCAGGCCAGAAACAAAATGAAATATCAGAATCCCAACAGATCAGCTTTACTTGTAGACTTCTACAGGGCAAACTCGCAGGATTTAGATGTGACAGACATGACGGTGAGGTGTGAGACAGGCCTTTCACAAGCACTTCTCTGGGCTAAGAAGGAAGATGGACGTTACCTGGGGGTGGGGGCGGGGCAATACCAGGGGGTGGTGGCAGGGCAATGTTCACCACAGCTGGAGGACCACTTGGGGGTAAGTTGAAGTAGTTGGCAGAGGCTTCTTCTTCTGCTGCAGGAGGAGGAGGAAGAGCTGGAGGAGAGAATACAGCCAACACTTAGAGGGGAAGACAACCGTGCAACATTGTTTCTACCACCTTCAAATCCTCGGAGGTCCTGCTGGGGGAATGGAGCCGCGGCAGGAGCCAGATCTCAGTCCTGTCTTCTGAAAGATGAACATCAAGGCAGATTGAGCTTCTGAAGTCAGCAGGAAGTCTGCACTCACCTCCTGGCAATCCTGGAACCGGCTCTAGCTTGATTCCAGAGTCTGTGGTTCCGTCCTTCTCTTTTTCTTTTCCTCTAGCAGCTTGGGATCTGGGAGACACACGCGCACACAGGCTGTCAGCACTTTGTCCCACCTCATCTCACACCCCTGCTTCTCAAGATTCCCAGTCGAATGGAGCTCCTTCACTCCCGCCTCCTCTTCAGCATACTCTTGTCCCATAAATGCCACAGTGCACAGTAGATAAGAGCAAAGACTTTGACACCAAAAAGACCTGGGTTCAAAACTTGCTAGAACTGTTATAAGGACTAGAAGAGGCAACACATCCATGTTTAGCACAGAGCTCTGCACACAGGGAGCTCTCCACAAAGGGAGATACTGCTGTTAGCCATCTCCTCCCTGGTTGCAAGCAGGAAACACGTTCACCCTTTGAACTGGGCATTTTACCTGTGTCTCTCTTATGCAATCGTCGCTTTCAAGCTTAAAATACCCATTCTATGTTTTATCTTCTCCACTAGGCAGTCAGCCTCTAAGGGAAGAATCTAGGTCTAATTCATTTATAAACCCTCAAATCTATCCTTCATGCCTTGGTGTTATATTAATACTTGGCCTATGATAGCTGGTCACAAAAACATGAACCTTCAAAGAAGTAGATTATTACAGCAAACCCCTGAA